CCTTGTTGATGATGTTCCCTGGGCCAGCTGGGTCAGCTTTTCTCCCCGCCTTATTTACTCCTTATTCATTAGGCTAATAATAAAATTAATAATGATCCCAAGACGAAGCCTTTGGTTTCCCCTTGGAAAGAGTATGGAGTGCCAGCGTGATAGATAAGCCACCGGATGATGTCTTTGCGGGAGCCACCTGGAAGCAGCCTCCCCACCATTTTGGGTAAGCTCCTTCTACTGTTGTCCCAGGCAGCAATGTGGGCCTCTTGGAGATGAAGCTTGTTGGCCTCTCTTGGGAAGCAAAGCAGCGGAGAGCTAGGGGAGCCATGGGGGGGGAGCACACGCGAGAGACCCTCAGGCACTGCAGCAGCAGAGGGAAGACCTGCCGTAAACCGGAAGGACAGTCTGTACACAGCCTTTTGGAAGTCAAGGCAGAGCCCAGAATCCGGTTCGCTTATGCCGTTGCTTAAGTTTTTCCTCCCCGCCAGCAGTCTCTCCGTCAGATGTAGCGGCAGTTGTGACATTGAGTGCGTGACATGGAACCCTCGAGAGGGAGAAACTGCTTCAGGATCGCCTTGTGCACCTGCTTTTTTCCCACTAGTGGAATTTTGGTCAACTTTCCAAAGGAATCCCATGTGCACGAGAAAAGCGAGCGACCTTCGACTGAAATGAAAGCTTTGTTGCACCTTGCTGGAGTAGACCCATTGAACGACTGGTGGTTGCATATGTGTTGACTTGCCAAGTCCCATTGATTCAGTGGGTCGGTTCCTACTCGACAATTGCCTTTGGCTCTAAGTAGCTAAATGTGCATAAATTTACATGTGAAGATACTGTTTTGAACAAATGTTGTTTCATGAAGGGCTTTCAGATGCTTAAAAGATTGTACAGCTAGGCAGTTGTGATGGTTCCCCATTGCAAAATGCTGGAAATACCTTTCTTGAGCTAAGAAATGGTTATAGCTGGGTAAGAACCTGCAACTCAGTCTATAATCTACCACTTTGAAGCATGAGCTTCCTCTTTTGTCTAACTTGGGCATTTAGAATAGTGCAGAAATGGAGCCAACACTAGGGAAGGGGAGAATAAATGAATTCAAGACCCACTGATTTTATTGACAGCATAACTCAAAAAGATGAGATATTTGATTCCAGCAAGACACTGTCTGTTTCAGTTGCCTGGGGGTTCTCACTGCAGGAAGGTAGCCATGATCCTTTCCTTCTGAAAAGTGAGCAGAGTGCCAGTTTTGGGTGCCGCCCAGAAGAGAGTCCTGCCCCCCCCCTTTTAAAACAGGAAGATCTGATTTAGGGGAGACAAGCTAGCTGCACATATTTGTGAGTTGTGTCTCAAGGCTGAGCTGTGGCTTGTCCTCAGCGCCGTCATCCTTTTTAAAAAAAGGGAATCATCTAAAATTCCAGTTAACTTTTTAGCCTATAGCTTACCAAAGCTCTGTAGTCGTTGCTTGTTTTGCACACCCTATTTCAGGGGTTCCCAACCTTGGGTTGCTGGATGACCTTGGGACTACAACTCCCAGAAGCCTTCACCATTACTTGTGCTGGCCTGGATTTCTTAGAACTACGGAGCTGAAAAGGGACCCTTATGGCTCATCAAGACCTTAAACCACTTCTGAAAGTTGAAATCCAAGAACATCTGGGGACCCAAGATTGGGAACCACTACCCTAATTAATTAGTTTGTAAAAAGGAGGAGGAGGAGCTCAATCCTGCACCGTATGCCCAGTGTCACACTCTTGAGGCCGCACCTGTAATGTTTTTAGAGGCAGATCTTAAACTGGACTAGTTTTGGCTGTTCCATGTGTTGGTTAAGACTGCTGTAGTAGAGAACGAAAAAGCACCTGCCGTGCTGATGCTCATGTCCTGTGCCTCTTGTGTGCAGCCATGTCGCTTCCAGAGTTGATTGTGGTGTGCTGGCTCTCTGGCTCCCGGTTGGTCTGTGTGGTCATTGATGTGTAGTGGTTTTTGTGCCGTTCTCTGAGCCCAGAGATCTGAGGCATGATTGTGCCTTGTTGATGATGTTCCCTGGGCCAGCTGGGTCAGCTTTTCTCCCCGCCTTATTTACTCCTTATTCATTAGGCTAATAATAAAATTAATAATGATCCCAAGACGAAGCCTTTGGTTTCCCCTTGGAAAGAGTATGGAGTGCCAGCGTGATAGATAAGCCACCGGAAACTTTTCCAAAGACTGTTACTGTGGGCTTATACAACGAGGAGAAACAGGCTCCAGGGCTTCCTGATCGTTGGAAGTAGGTGCTGGTAAAGAATCAGGTGGGGGAGGCGGCGCGCACACACCCCGCGTCCGAAAGAGCCAAGAAACATCATCTGCACTTGCAAGTTGTAGGCAAATGGAGATGAGAAAATGAGTGTCTTCCCAGATGATATTCCCAAGAGAATTGAGTGGAGGGGGATATCCTGGCTTCTCTTTATGGGTCTTTCATAGCAGCAGTTTCTGAAGTCTAGTTATATCTTTGCTCAACATACAGTGAATAATACAAGCTAGTACAGTTGTCATGGACAGTAGTTCATCTAATTTTTAAGAAGAGACTTATGGGAAGAGGTTTTTCGTTGATGTGCAGCAAAAAGCCTTACTAAATCCACCAAATGGAACAGTCTAGACATCCTGGTATGACTGAGTACAACTTGCTTTAGAACCTAGGAGGAGTATAGAGTTTGGACCTTCTTTTGCCATCGGCTTACCTTCCCTTTCTTCCCTCCCAGATTGTTTTATGTATTTAAGGTGTGTATCAAGGTGTGTATCAAGGAGGGAGAGAACCTGGCAAGATCATAGAGGTTCTTCGCTTGCCTTTTACTCAGCCTCAATATGAGGATGAGAAGAGAAATCATGGGGCTTTGTTTGTTAGTCCCAACTAACAAACCTTCTATAAGTGTTGACTCAATCCTTATGTCATGTTCATTCAGTGGCTCTACTCTAGTAAGAAGTAACCAACTGGGTTTAAGCCACAGTTCCCTTGCCTCGGTAGACACTGTGAATGGCCCATGAATCAAGGGAAGTACTTGACCCGTTTTGGAAGTCCCAAGATTTCTTTTGTGTTTGTATCAGAACTCTTACTTCAGAGTAACTACTCCAAGATGACCTCTTGAATTGTGCTGGGATAAATAAGCCCTGAAGTATAGATCTGACTCTGTATTCATAGATGGAAAACCTAATACTGAAGGGGAAAGGAACAGGTGGGTGCCCTGATCCAGCTTCTGCATATAAATTGTGACTGCCCAACAGAGAACAGCCCGGGGTCTACTTTGCTTGATGCCTCTTCTGGTGCGGTCGGCTTGTCTCCTTCCCGGCGCTGCATCCTACCGCTTGGGAAAATATCACTCTGTCCTCCATGATCGGATTGATTTCTTCCCTTCTAATCATCCTATCAAATGTGGGAGGTGCTCTGGTCTCCACCTCATGCAGAAGTGTGTCTCTAGCCTGTCAGAGGCTTTCCTGCTGCAGGGGTAGTAGTGGCTCGTTTTGGAAAAGCCATTTTGTCCGCTGAAGCCATTGCTTTGCTTGGCTGCTTATGCCCAGTCAAGGATGAAATAGGACTCCTGGCACAAGTGAAAAAGATGGATGGATGGACAGGCACTGGGTTTGGAAACTGTCCGGCAATGACAGATCAGCAGCTGCAGCATCTTACAGAAATACACCTGTCCCTTTTTAACATCTCTATTTTGACTTGTTCTATCTGAGAAGGTTCTCCATTTGTTAAAACCACTCTTTTCCTCCCAAGTAAAAGCCTTGTCAGTTTGGCTGCATGAGGAATGGCGAGTGACTCCCCCTCCCCCCAGCCATTTTGTGGATCAGTGCCTCTCACATACGAGCAACGTGTTGGCCATCCGTTATTAGGACGTGACCTGGACAGGGCTTTAGGTGGTGTGGTGTGTCTGAAAGGGTATGGCATTGGCTTCACGTGGACCTCTTTGCAAAAGGGCTCAGTCCCTCTTTCTCCTTGCTTCATTCCTTTCTGCTTTCTGTTCTGCTCTCAGCATCCTCCACCTTCTGTCCTTTCTCTCCCCCCCCCCAGCCCTGCTCCGTCTCCTCTGCATTTTGACTCTGCAGCAAAGCAACGTCGCAGCTGCTGTTGCTGGTCTTCCTCTCTCCCGTTTCCTGCTGCTTTTTCCTCTAGCAGCCGGTGCCGTCCCTTTATTCCCCGGGTGACTTTTCAAAGGTCTTCTGCCTATCTGTGAATCAGTCCGAGAACTGCAGGAGGGAGGTTGGGAGAAATCCACGTGATTGTATGTGAGAGATGTCTCTCTGAATGGTTTTATATTTTGGGGGAGGGAGACTGGATGTTTCCTGCTTCACAATAAATAAGGACGGACAAGGTGGTTTTGATTTCTAAAATGAGAGTTCTGGAAGGCATCTCATCTGCCCTCCGAGCACATTTTCAAATTTTGATATTAACAAGAAGATGAAGTTGGTCAGCTGGAAGTTGGAACGGTTCATACCTTTCTTTCGGCTTAGAGAGACCATGGCTGTTTGTCACTATTTATCGGTCTCCATTCAAGGAGCTTGAAGGAGGGGTGCATCATAAACCCTTGCCATGGGTGGTAAAAAATCCCAACCATTATCAAAGGTTGGGACTTTTTTTTTTTACTGCAAATCCCAGAATTCCTCAGCTTATGGGCTTAGTATTTCTTTATCTTTTATTTTTGAAGCAGTATGACATGTCATCTGAATAAGTAAAATTTCCATCCTGTAAAACTTGTATGTTAAAGAGAAGCTTTGTGTGTTGGAGGTGAGAGAAAGGCGGAGAGCTTCTGTGTGCTTTGAACTCCAACGTGGCTCCATGGAGCATTCTGCAAAATGTAGTCCAAACACCACAAACCTCTACATCTCTGGTGAAACCAGTCTATTTACTCCTTCCCTTAATTAAGGGTTAGGGTTGCGAATCCAGCTGAAGCTTTTTTCGGTGATACAGGTGAGGGCTTCCTTTGGCTTGAGTTTCCTTGCCAGACGGTTAATAGTGCCACCACTCCTTTGCTTTCACTTTCCAGTGCCCCCAGGAAAGATTATAGATGAAACAATGTCCTACAAGGAGTTCCTGGACCGGAATGACTCATGGACGACGGAGGATCGGGGCCATTGCTTTGAGTCGCAGCCAGCATTTAAGCCCATGGATGTTACAGGTAAGCAGCAGCAATAACGTGAAGTAGCTCTAGTGTAGCTTATTGGGGAGAAATGGAAGCTTGGAATCCTCTTTTTCTTACTGGAATTGCTACTGCGGCATCCGTATCTTCTTAATTAGCCAGATGATGATGCACAAAAGAATTAACACTGGAAAGGCAGGGATCCTGCCCTTTGTGTACCCAGTGGGGAGTGTTCTTTGGAACCAATGTGTGAAATCGGGCATCGCTGTGTCACAGAAACTTCCAAATATAAATGCACTTTCAGATACTGTATGAAAATGAAATAATTTTGGGTAGAAATTTCACAGAGGCTCCTGCACGCAGGCAAAGTGTTTCTTGACCTTTTTTTCCCCTTGGTCCTCATTCAGGTGCAACATTCTCACATTGATGTCGTTGGTGTTCTTTCCCCTGTGACTCTGACACTGCCGGTCACGACACAATTAAACGTCCCCAGCATAATAGTTAAGATTCTACTCACTTCTCCTAATTTGCATTGTTTTGCAATTAGATTAATGTTGGATTGTTCATTAGTCAAGCTCATTTACTTCTCTGATTCCTTAATGTTCATTCTAAAAGCCTGCATGCAAAATAGCACAACAGAATTAAGAGCCCGGTCATTTCTTCTTCTTATATGCCATCAACTGGTTTCAGACTTAAGGCAAACCTATGAATGACCTCCACATCATTCTGTTACAGTATTAACAGCCCTGCTGATGGCTTGTAGATTCAAGGCCATGGCTTCCCTCATTGAGTCAATCCATATCATGTTCGGTCTCCACTTTTCCTACCGCCTTCCAGTTTTCCTGGCATTATTGTCTTTTCCCTCTTGATGTGCAATAACTTCAGTCATTTTAGTTTCTAGAAAGAAGTGAGGCTTGATTTGATCTGCAATCCTTTTGTTTCTTTTTCTGGCTGTCTTGGGTTATTGGTAAAGCTTTCCTCCAACACTACAGTTGAATTGAATAGATTTTTCTTCCTGAACATTTTCTTCATTGTCCAACTTTCACATCCATAACTAGTGACTGGGCATACTATAACATGGATGACGTCAGTCTCGAACTCCAGCAACACCTCCTTACCTCTGAGGATCTTTTCTAATTTCTTGAGTGCCTGCACTTCCAAGTTTCAATCTTCTTATTTCCTGGTTGCAGTCTCCATTTGGATTGGAGGTTGAGTCAGGATATAGAAACTCTTAAACTATTGTCTTAAATAGAAACATCATCTGCACTTGCAAGTTGTAGGCAAATGGAGATGAGAAAATGAGTGTCTTCCCAGATGATATTCCCAAGAGAATTGAGTGGAGGGGGATATCCTGGCTTCTCTTTATGGGTCTTTCATAGCAGCAGTTTCTGAAGTCTAGTTATATCTTTGCTCAACATACAGTGAATAATACAAGCTAGTACAGTTGTCATGGACAGTAGTTCATCTAATTTTTAAGAAGAGACTTATGGGAAGAGGTTTTTCATTGATGTGTAGCAAAAAGCCTTACTAGACATCCTGGTATGACTGAGTACAACTTGCTTTAGAACCTAGGAGGAGTATAGAGTTTGGACCTTCTTTTGCCATTGGCTTACCTTCCCTTTCTTCCCTCCCAGATTGTTTTATGTATTCAAGGTGTGTATCAACGAGGGAGAGAACCTGGCAAGATCATAGAGGTTCTTCGCTTGCCTATTACTCAGCCTCAATATGATAATGAGAAGAGAAAACATAGGGCTTTGTTTGTTAGTCCCAACTAAAAGAAAACCCAAGACCTTCTATAAGTGTTGACTTAATCCTTATGTCATGTTCATTCAGTGGCTCTACTCTAGTAAGAAGTAACCAACTGGGTTTAAGCCACAGTTCCCTTGCCTCGGTAGACACTGTGAATGGCCCATGAATCAAGGGAAGTACTTGACCCGTTTTGGAAGTCCCAAGATTTCTTTTGTGTTTGTATCAGAACTCTTACTTCAGAGTAACTACTCCAAGATGACCTCTTGAATTGTGCTGGGATAAATAAGCCCTGAAGTATAGATCTGACTCTGTATTCATAGATGGAAAACCTAATACTGAAGGGGAAAGGAACAGGTGGGTGCCCTGATCCAGCTTCTGCATATAAATTGTGACTGCCCAACAGAGAACAGCTCGGGGTCTACTTTGCTTGATGCCTCTTCTGGCGCGGTTGGCTTTTCTCCTTCCCGGCGCTGCATCCTACCGCTTGGGAAAATATCACTCTGTCCTCCATGATCGGATTGATTTCTTCCCTTCTAATCATCCTATCAAATGCGGGAGGTGCTCTGGTCTCCACCTCATGCAGAAGTGTGTCTCTAGCCTGTCAGAGGCTTTCCTGCTGCAGGGGTAGTAGTGGCTCGTTTTGGAAGAGCCATTTTGTCCGCTGAAGCCGTTGCTTTGCTTGGCTGCTTATGCCCAGTCAAGGATGAAATAGGACTCCTGGCACAAGTGAAAAAGATGGATGGATGGACAGGCGCTGGGTTTGGAAACTGTCCGGCAATGACAGATCAGCAGCTGCAGCATCTTACAGAAATACACCTGTCCCTTTTTAACATCTCTATTTTGACTTGTTCTATCTGAGAAGGTTCTCCATTTGTTAAAACCACTCTTTTCCTCCCAAGTAAAAGCCTTGTCAGTTTGGCTGCATGAGGAATGGCGAGTGACTCCCCCTCCCCCCAGCCATTTTGTGGATCAGTGCCTCTCACATACGAGCAACGTGTTGGCCATCCGTTATTAGGACGTGACCTGGACAGCAAAGCATTTTGTTCCTTTCCTTTACACGCCAACCACTGCTAGGGTTGCAAACGGATGGTGAAGCCCTGATTTAACACCCCCCCTAACCTATCCAGTGGGGGAGAGATGCCAGTGATTCTTGTTTGTAGGAGCAGAGGTACCTCCAGGTGGGAAGGCAGATTGGCTTCTGACTACGGTTTCACCTGCTAGATTGTGGTCATACCTAGATTTGCCATAGTTTCTTAACTGTGGCCACAGATAAGAGTTAAGCATAAGTTAGTGACATGACTTCACAGGGTTTGTGAGGTTGGGTACAAATCCTCTTTTGCCGAAGGAGGAGGACCCTTGGCCTTGTGCATGCCGGCGGCTCTTCTTTTGCCAAGGAGTTCAGAGCAAAAGCTGGAATTCAAATGTGGGGAGTTCAGTTTCAGCATGCCATGTAGGAAAATAATATCGCACAAGGGTTAGTTGGTTGCAGCAGGAAGCCCTAAGTATCTTGTGGCTTAAGCTTTCTTGGGCTGTAGTCCACTCCATCAGATGCCTGGACCGCCATCCATAAAAGTTCCAGTGGAATAAACCACATTAAACTTTAAGATGTTGGGTCATCAGCGGAGGAGGTCTAGGTGGAAACCTCAAGGAGGGAGGGGGGAGGTGGTGCCGGAAGATTTTCTTCCTTTTAGTACAAAACTTCCACAAGAAAGAAATGACCCAGCATAGTCAGGCAGGGCTGGGCTGGGTTGATGCCAGTGGGTGCTGCAGAGAACATGAGCTGGGGAGGCGTGGAAGCTGCCCCTGGGGCACCAGGTCAAGATGGCTGCTGGCATGCCCGGTCCCACACCTTGAGAAACGGGAGGCTGAGCCTTTGACCTCTGCCGATTGTCCTTTAGAACCCTTCAAGATGAACCGTGAAGATGTCCTCTCTGGCCTGCTGCTGCTTCCCCAGGAAACGATGGGTGTCCCACAATTCGGGGAGTATTTTGGTGCTTCGGAAGAAGTCCATGGTACAATTTTCATTGAGCTTCGCTGTTGTATAACTCTTTCCCACCTTCCGGTGTTACTAAGGAGTCCTTCTGCATGGCTGACATCTTTCTTTCTTCCTCACTTGTTTTGAAACTCAGATTAATTAAGGAGAGTGTTGAAGGACATAATCTGCTTTCTCTGTAGCCTTTTCTAATCTCCCATGGATGCTGAAACTGCATGCTTGGTATCGCTTCACCAGTCATGGAGCTGGGCTGCTTCTTCATGGTTTAATGCATCCCTCAGACGTTTTATATAGATAGATATATATATAGCCTAGTTCTGTGTTGAGAAAATCTAAGGAACATGAAGACCACATTCCTGACAGCTGGCTTACCAGTCCAATTTGTGGGTGAAATGATCCATATCAAGGAGCTTGAATGCCCTTTCGTTTCCTTGTCTCTGTCTTCCCCCAGCACCTTATGAACCCGAGCCCCCATTCCTCTCTTCTGCCTATGGAAACAAGGCTTCTGAACCTCTGCGGGCATTTCATAGGATGTATTGCCCTTGCAGCGTTTTTGGTTTTAACCAGAACCTCCTGCTGCTTGGTGCAGTTCGGGGCTGAGTGGTGTTCTACTCTGTCCTTCTCCTGCCTTGCTTCAACCCGTGAGGGAAACATCAGGGCCGCCGAAGACTCGGAAGCACAAAAGCCAGACTGCGCTGATACGTCTTGCCGTACAGGGCCGTTGAGCAGACTGTGCATCTCAGCACTGCCTTGCCGTGCTTCCTTTCCCCCCCTCTGCTGCTTCCGTGGGTGGCAGTGACCCACATCTTCCTGCCTTGCGAGGTGCAGACAGGCGTCACAAGGCATGCCCAGTTCCAGGGTGAGGAATCCTGCCCAGAGCTGAGGCTTCTGTGGTCACTTGTTGGGGGTCCACTGCCCGAGAGGCTTGCAGGTGGAGGGGCTGGCCAGCTGTTGCCTGGCGCACCTGCTCCCTAGGACAGTCAGGGCAATGTGGCTCCATGTCAACCACTTCTTCACCCAGGATTAATGGGGCCCAGGGCCTTTCAGTGATTGTTCCCTTCCCAGTCCCTGAATGGCAAGAAGAAAGTTCACGGTCGTGCTGGAGCACTACAGAAGGCTTGCCTGGTCACACAGAGAGGAAATCAGCGGCAGGTTTCCTACCCTCGTCTGGAAATGTTGTTTTGCCTCATTGCAAAAAGCTTCCTAGAAGGGAACGACCCAAATCAAAGAGCTACAGGGGTCTTGCTGAAATTTCCTGCTTGAGAGACCAGAGCGTGATTTAGGAGGAGATGACGAGGTCACGTGTGCCTGAGTAACCCTTGGCGGAAGTGGCCAAAACGGTGGGGAAATGCGCACCCGCTGGTGGTGGAAACCTGCCTTGTTTCTTGCAGCGCCCAGTTTTGGAGCTCCGGGAGCACCTGAACAGCTTAACCCCCTGGGATCCCCACACGTTCCTGCAAACCTTTTTGACCCACTGACCTTCCTTGGCGCAGACCCGGGGGCAGAGGCTCAGTTGAGCCAGAGAGAAGCAGGTGAGCTCATGCTGATCTGCTGTGCGGTGGTCAGGGAATTAAGCAGGGGTGG